TTCCACGAACCGGATATCTATCCGATGGAAACCGGTCCTCGGGATATTTATCCGGATAAACGTCAATAGGATATCGGCTGATTGGATAACGTTCACCGGCGGGATATCTACCGATGTCATTCGATTGGTAATCGTAAATTGGATACCGTCCGCTGTCGATTGGGTAGCGGTCTCCACCTGGATACCTATCTGGTGCTGGATATCTATCTACTCCCGGTGGGTATCTGTCTATGCCTGGGGGATATCTGTCGGATGGATATCTCTCGGGTCCGACACCGGGTGGGTATCTGTCGTCTGGATACCTATCTGCTGGGTAGCGGTCTCCCGGTAAATATCTATCGGGGTATTGGTCGGGTCCCACCGGGTACCGGTCGTCGGGCGGTGGGTACCGGTCTGGTCTTCGGTCGTATCGGTCGTCGTCCGCATATCGGTCATCATCGGGATAGCGGTCAACGCCGGGGGGATATCGATCCCGATCTCGATCCCGGTCCCGATCTCGATCGCCACCACCGTTACCACCTTTAAAAGTAAATAATTAGAAGCTGTAATAATCTACAATATGTAGTATTAATTAAAGACTAGCATGCACTACGGTCAACTAACATTCACTACTCAAAGATACAATGCTAAAAATATATAAATTACAACGTAGATACGAAGATAATACACATTATTTATAAAAAAAACATGCACTAATTTTGTAGATACAGTCATGCACATTCATGTATTGTAGAGATGGTAAATATTGCTACTTAAAATAAACAATTAATTCATAAACCGCAACTAAATTCTGAAAAAAACTAGTCTGGACATATAAGATGTAAATTACTTGTAGATTCAAATACGCACATTAGGACGTGCTTTTCTATGACCAGACTAGTTATGATAAATAATGAATAACTTTAACTACAGACTTAACAATAGTCTTAATATTTACATAACGATCTACTTCTATTAAAATTAAAATAAATAATACAAAGTCGAATATTTACATAATAAGCTGAATACATTTAAATCATAATCAAATGTTTGTAGCTACTATAACCATAATGAGCCCAATATGGAAGAGAATATATTTAATATTCCCTACAATCATGCATCAAACCTGAATTAGACCCTGGCCTGCCACCGCCTGTTCCCCCTGACTCGTTCTCACCAGTTACGAGCTGATCTGAATCCCCAAAATTATTGTGCTAATGAATTTTTATTTTACTACATCAGAAAACATCCTAAATCTGCAAACATTGATATAAATCATTTACATTGATATTGTATTTTTGTATATATTGAAATAAATCAAATCTACTGGGCCGTTTTAAAACATTCTTTCATCGTTAGAAAGGGTTTATCTGTGAGTAACATAGGCTATATTTTTTTAAATTCACGCGGGCAAAGTCGCGAGTAACAGCTAGTATTTTTTATAAAAATAAATACTAGTATTGAGACAAAAAATGTTTAAGTTAAGTTTCATAACAAGTGGTCGCGTAATTTTAATTTATCTTGACTTGCATATGACTAATTTCTGTTTGAAACTTGATTGTGTGATTCTTTTGTTTTGTCTGACTTTAATATTGAATTAAATACGTTGCAGTGTCCTTTCAAGTAGTATCAGGTTCAAGTATGTAAACATATGTACCATTATAGAAATATTGTGTGTGCTATTTTTGTAATAGAGATGGGTTCAAAGTCGCTACTTCTGCCTTGTTAGTACAATTGCCCACTTATGTTAGCATTGCGCACTTCGTAACAAATACATGGACATTACAATAATGTACGCATACCTATTCATAAAAAGAAAAATAAACACAAACATCTTTAAATCACACCTCATCGCTTCAATTGTACATAATAAAACTTTTACCTCTTATTTGTCGGAAAAAGGTATTCAAATTCATAGATTATTTAAAAATAATTTTAAAGCGGTTTTTAACAGGTCCACTTTTAGGGTCTATTTAAAATAGGAATATCCGTAAAATATTAAAATCATTGTTACCCTATCACGTTCTGTGTTCTCATGTTCATTGGGTGTCCCCTTACTGGCACACTTGCGACTAACACGTGATAACAAAACGTGTATGTCACTCATTCTATATAAATATGTGTGTTGGTACGTATTTATATGAATGTATCATTTAAAAACGTTTATTTATTATCATTTTAAACGTCTCCACTGAGTAGTTCGGAGGTCCTAACTTCCTTCTATTCGTTCTTAGACAAAGACATTTAAAAAATAAAAAGACGCGGCAAAGTAAACTAAAATTTTTTTCGCGCTACTTTCTCTGAAAGGTACTATATCAGTTGTCAAGTTAAGTACAACACCTTGTGTCCTGGTTTTACTATAAAACTAGCTATCGCCCGCGACTACGTCCAAAAAAACAAAAGTGAGAAGCCTATGTGGTTTTCCAGACTATCCTCTAAAACCATGGCAAATTTTATCGAGATCCGTTCAGCCGTTAAGGCTACAAAATCAAACATTCATCCATGAATCTAAACTTTCGCATTTATAATATTTGTGAGATAAAGCTCCGTCTTTTGTTACATAGTAAACTAAACAGTATTACAAAACAAAATACAAACATTAAAATATTATTTAATGACACTATTGGCAATTAATTTAAATATAATAAATTATTTTAACATGTAGTTTTGAGTATTAATAAAAAGCGTTAGCGAGATTTCACGAGTTTCAAGTGAAGTGTCCACTATGCCTTCTCTATATATATTTTTTTAAACTCTTTGGTCCTAGTCCTAGGTGACATACCAATAGTGAACTTGCTGCTTAGGCTACGTTTTTCATTATTTATTAATTTCACGCGGGTTAAGTCGCGAGCAACAGCTAGTATTTAATAATCGCGTGTCATATTGGAGGTAACGTTATTATAGACAAAGGAAACATAATATTTATATAATGATATCAGGCTACCAGACATGTTGACCTGGATTAATAAAATCACTAGCAATTAGAATGTCCACTCCACACAAAAAACATGTTCTTTCACTTGCTGCAGTTAATAATTTCTTTAATTTACTATAGCAATAATTGTAACATTTTTGTTGGGCAGTAATCGAACAAAGAACTCGGACGAAGTTCGATATTAAATGACATTTAAGTCGTTTATTCGTCTTTTGTTTACAATATTCAATAATTAAAAAACTTCTATAACTTATGTAAATGAAAATACACAATTGGGCACGTCAATAGAAAATGTAGTCCTGTATACAACGTGACAAATCAAGCAATCGGTATAATACTTACGCATCAAATTTTCGTAATAATCAAAATCGGGATCATACAGCAAACGCATGCCGTCCTTCTGATTGTACCGGCTTAGGCGACAGGTCCTCGCCCTATCGCTGTACACGGCGGACCTGAACGAAAACAAAACATAAATAGAACAAACAATACCTAACCTACGTGTCAATTCTATCGTACAATGAACTCTACGATTTAGGGCAGTTACACACGCGCGTTACATTCATTTTGTATTATACATACTCTGAACATATTAGAATATTACTCGTAATGATTGCACCATTCATTAACTTTTCAAAGAAGATTGCGAACTTAAGTAAGTTTTAAATAAAAGTTGTTTCAAAATGTCCGCCATATTGTTCTAGAAGAAAAGAGTAGTTAACTTTTAGGTAATTCTCGTTATTTCATTGTATGTTACAAAATGGTTAACCTTTGTAATACGTTTTTAATAGTGTAAAAAAAAACTATAGTTTCATAACCACAAACAAGCTATTGAATAAAATTGTTCACATGCTTCTTTACGTATATAGTTTTTGTAGGTCAGTGATAAGATTATATCGTGAAAATATTACGATAAATAAAAAAAATAAACTCGTTTAACTTCGATCGAAGTTTCATTGAAACATGTGCTTTGACTTAATGTTAACCTACTTTCGCTTATGTAATAAAATGCTAAAGGCAAATACATAAGTTATTTTTAACTTTAATAAGATTTTAAAGCGCATTAAGTATTACTTCTAGAAATTTACACATTGTTGCGAGTCTATGTAAATTACTACTATTTTGTATTATATACAACTGCAAAACAAGTGATTAGTGTCTCACTTAACATCAACACACATTTAAATTAAGCATCATAAAGACACAATTATTCATACGTTAACTTGTATTATTTTCAATGTAAAGATTATGAAAATCCTTTATACAGCTATAATGTTGCAAGCATTGTGAGTCCACATCGTGATTCTATGGCCCGGATAAAATTATGTCTCGATAATAAGATTGTCACTCGTCTCACTCAACTATTAAAAAGTATTACTCGTGCGCAGATACTTTGCCTATGGCATAACGCTTTAATTGATTAATTCCGCAGACGAGTGCGGGACGAGGTCGGTGTAATTGGGAGTCATCCACAAATCTGCGCACAGCTAATGAAAAAAGTAACAACATAACCCTTGATAATGAAATTCTAACTTAAAATATATCAAAGGGAGATCAAGAAAATTTGGTTGTATAAAAGAAGATTTAAGAAGGGGAATTCGAATTATTCGAATATAGAATGATACGGTAGCGTATGGTTGCACGTAAAAGTTCAGAATCTCAGAGGAAGACTGTCACACTGAGGGAATATCTATGTAAAAAACGGTACCGAGTGTAAAAAGTTAGTCCGTTTTATTTACCTGCATTGAAAGCTTGTCTGTCTGAGGCATTCATCCAGGCACTCGCTGAGTGAGCGTCCCGTGATCTCGGAGTGGAACTCCCCGGTTATCCGACTGTTCCTGTACCGCTGGAAGGCGGTGTCAGGCCTCCTGCCCGGAGCAAACAGATGTGACGTGGCGCTGTTGTCCGGGTACTCCGTGCCGCGAGCTGTCACCCGATGAGAAACTGAGCGTAATCGCGACAGAAAACCCTTATTGTATCGTTCTTACCGGTAAAAAGGATTTTTAGACTAAGATTTTTTTGTTAAACTTTTGTTAATGTTCTATTTTATTTTTACTCCCATAACTAAGTAGCACAAATTAATTATTTCTACGCGACTCTCGTCTATGTTATTTAAAGAACTATGGTTGGAATTAGGTAGTCTTCTAAAAACCTGCTTTCTTCAATTTGTATGAAATTGCTGGATAGATTATTATCGTTAATGATGGCAATTGAATCCAAATTGAGTCCAAAAAGCAAATTAAACAACTTTCAACTATGAAATAGTATAATTGTTTAGCGCATCGACAATACCCTAACCATTTAGAGCATGCGCACATCCTTGACTAAACTATCGCATAACTGTTTAGTCTCGCTTTGATTCCTATAGGCTTATATGGAAGTGTGCTTCTCGATTTTTAGTCATGCAGCTAAGCAGTTGAATTGGCTGCGAAAGTATCTACATTCAACAATCGCATAACAGTTGGGCGATAGTTAAGTCAAAGGTGTGCGCCCGCTCTTATGCTATGACTGGTTACTTAAGGTTCTCCAAGTTTCCAAGGTAACCAAATTATACTGTTAATTAAGAAGTTTTAAGTAGTAACGATACTTACGGTTGTCAAGGCATACGAGGTCGTAGAAGTGGTGTGTCGGTGAAGCGCTGACGGTGACGTCGTCCTTCTGAGAGACGGAATCCTCCTCGGACAGCACGCACTGCCGTGTCATTGCGTCGTGCTCGATAGACCGACAGAAATACCTAGGAACAGCGTTCACTTGTTATTTCTGTTACCTTCATCTACGTGGTTACATAGACTTTTTTGAAAAGAAAGTAGAATATTGGTTGCCAATATTTTACTCTCATACATGACAATCGAACTAAGACATTATCTTATCAAAAAGACTTGTTCCTATACTATTAGTATTTTATTGTAATGTGCATAACTTAAGAAACAGTCCTTACTTTTCTGCGCGGACGCACATCGACTGGCATTCGTCTAATGTCATATTTGAGAATACATCAGCTTCGAAAGGTCCTCCGAGTCGTTTGTTCTCTTCTTTGATAAACACAGCTAAACCATCGCAGCGTCGTTCAGCTAAAATACAGAATGTTTTTTTCTAAATCATGCCATAACTTTTTTCTTAACGCTACCCTCTACTATATAATTTTTCACTTGTTTTCGCACAATCAATTATATAGTTATTAGTAAATATTACCGTTCAAGCAAGTATTCTCCAGGTAATCCGCATTATGATCGTCTTCCAGCATTTCAGGATGCGTTCTTCTTGTGAATCTGCTGAGAGAACAAGTT